GTATTTTCCGGAAGCATATCACATGTGCTGCACTTGCAATATCTTAAATTAAGCATTGCATTAGAAATCATAGAGCAGTTTGGAACAAAATTTCAGAGTGTCATGTCAAATGGTTGTCTTTTGAAATGACTCTTGATCACTCGATGGGACATCTTTCAAGCACTACATTCGAGTGAATTTAAATTATGACCACATGTACCAAACAACTCGAGCAAAAAAGCTTGTAGGATGAAAAAAATTGCAATTAAAGTTTTGATACGACAGAATGCAAATGATCTGTTTTAAACAACCTAAAGAGAATTCAAAGACACAGAAAAGAGACTTGAGCATTCTACATTTTGCTGCCTAAAAGTCGAAATCTGTTCCCACAAAAAATAATTCTCGCAGTATTGTACAGTATTGTTTATTTAATATTTCCATTGGAGATTTTATCGATCGAGTTTTCTTTTCGATGTTATCATGCACATCAGAACGTTTCGGCCTTCAAAAACACTGCAACATTCAGCCATTTCTGTGACTTAGCACTCGTTCAATAACGCACAAATTTTCTGCTGAAATATTAATTGAAATCCAGTAATATCAATTTGATTCTTAACTTTTTTTAACTACTCAGCTTTATGAAAACTACGGTTATTACATAAGATAAAATAACGGCCACTTCATCATTCATCTTTCGTAAACATGCATCCCGCGAACACATTCAGAAAATGACTCACTTCTAAAAACTAACGACCTCCCTTGCTTTGTAAGAGGTCTACGGCTCAGTTCTAAAACTCAAACCAAGTAACAGCATTTTTTCGATGATGGCTACATTACCACCTATTAAAGCGAAGTCCAGTAAATTTCTTCCAAACCGTCCTTTCACAAAGGGATCGGCTCCCTTGTCTAGCAGATGATTTAACGCCTCAAGCTTGCCATTCTTTGCAGCTAATATCAAGGGTGTGTTACCATCACCATCTTTTGATTCGACATCAAGACCACATGAGATTATTGTTTCGACGATGGCGACATTATCACCCGTTGAAGCAAAGTGCAGTGAATTTCTTCCAAACTGTCCTTCCACAAAGGGATCAGCTCCCTTGTCCAACAAATAATTTACCGCCTCAACCTTGCCACCCCGTACAGCCACTATCAAGGGTGTGTTCCCTTTACCATTTTTTGAATCGACATCAAGACCACGTGAAATTATTGTCTCAATGATGGCGACATTACCACCATGGGCAGCAAAGTGCAGTAAATTGGCTCCAAATCGTCCTTTCACAAAGGGATCAGCTCCCTTGACTAGCAGATAGTTTACCGCCTCAACCATGCCATTCCCTACAGCGAATATCAAGGGTGTCCTGCCGTCCCTATCTTTTGAATCGACATCAAGACCACGTGACATTATTGTCTCGATGATGGCGACATTACCTCCAATTGAAGCGGAGTGCAGTGAATTTCTTCCAAACTTTCCTTTCACAAAGGGATCAGCTCCCTTGTCTAAGAGATAATTTACCGCCTCAACCTTGTCACCCTGTGCAGCCAATAGCAAGGGTGTACTCCCGTCATCATCTTTTGAATCGACATCACGACCATGGGACATTATTGTCTCGATGATGGCGACATTACCACCCTCTGAAGCGAAGTGCAGTGAATTTCTTCCAGACTGTCCTTTCGCAAAGGGATCAGCTCCCTTGTCTAGCAGATATATTACCGCTTTAACCTTGCCAAACTGTGCAGCCAATAGCAACGGTGTGTTGCCGTCACCATCTTTTGAATCAACATCAAGACCACGTGACATTATCGTCTCGATGATGACAACATTACCACCCTCTGAAGCGAAGTGCAGTGAATTTCTTCCAAACTGTCCTTTTACAAAGGGATCAGCTCCCTTGTCTAGCATATAATTTACCGCTTTAACCTTGCCAAACTCTGCAGCCAATAGCAACGGTGTGTTGCCGTTACCATCTTTTGAATCAACATCAAGACCACGTGACATTATTGTCTCGATGATGGCGACATTACCACCCTTTGAGGCAAAGTGCAGTGAATTACTTCCAAACTTTCCTTTCGCAAAGGGATCAGCTCCCTTGTCTAGCAGATAGTTTACCGCTTTAACCTTGCCAAACTGTGCAGCCAATAGCAACGGTGTGTTGCCGTCACCATCTTTTGAATCAATATCAAGACCAGGTGACATTATGGTCTCGATGATGGCGACATTACCACCCGTTGAGGCGAAGTGCAGTGAATTACTTCCAAACTGTCCTTTCACAAAGGGATCCGCTCCTTTGTCTAACAGATGGATTACCGCCAAAAGCTTGTCACCCCGTGCAGCCAATAGTAAGGGTGTGTTGCCGTTGCCATCTTTTGAATCGACATCAAGACCACGTGACATTATTGTCTCAATGATGACAACATTACCACCCTCTGAAGCGAAGTGTAGTGAGTTTCTTCCAAACTGTCCTTTTACAAAGGGATCAGCTCCTTTGTCTAGCAGATAATTTACCGCCTCAACCTTGCCAAACTGTGCAGCCAATAGCAACGGTGTGTTGCCGTCACCATCTTTTGAATCAACATCAAGACCACGTGACATTATTGTCTCGATGATGGCGACATTACCACCCGTTGAGGCGAAGTGCAGTGAATTACTTCCAAACTGTCCTTTTACAAAGGGATCTGCTCCCTTGTCTAACAGATGGTTTACCGCCAAAAGCTTGTCACCCCGTGCAGCCAATAGTAAGGGTGTGTTGCCGTTGCCATCTCTTGAATCGACATCAAGACCACGTGACATCATTGTCTCGATGATGACAACATTACCACCCTCTGAAGCGAAGTGCAGTGAATTTCTTCCAAACTGTCCTTTTACAAAGGGATCTGCTCCCTTGTCTAGCAGATAATTTACCGCCTTAACCTTGCCAAACTGTGCAGCCAATAGCAACGGTGTGTTGCCGTCACCATCTTTTGAATCAACATCAAGACCACGTGACATTATTTTCTCGATGATGGTGACATTACCAGCCGTTGAGGCGAAGTGCAGTGAGTTGCTTCCCAACCGTTCTTTCACAAAGGGATCAGCTCCTTTCTCTAAGAGATGATTTAACGCCTCAACATTGCCATTCTGTACAGCTAATATTAAGGGTGTCTTGCCATCGTCATCTTTTGAATCCACATCAAGACCATATGACATTATTATCTCGATGATGGCAACATTACCACACTCTGAAGCGAAGTGCAGTGAATTTCGTCCAAACTCTTCCTTCACAAAGGGAACAGCTCCCTTGTCTAACAGATAATTTAACGCCTCAACATTGCCATTCTCTACAGCTAATATCAAGGGTGTCTTGCCATCGTCATCTTTTGAATCCACATTAAGACCATATGACATTATTGTCTCGATGATGGCGATATTACCACACTCTGAAGCGAAGTGCAGTGAATTTCGTCCAAACTCTCCTTTTACAAAGGGATCAGCTCCCTTCTCTAAGAGATAATTTACCGCCTCAACCTTGTCACCCTGTGCAGCCAGTAGTAAGGGTGTGTTGCCGTCATGATCTTTTGAATCCACAACAATACCACATAACATTATTGTTTCGATGATGGTGACATTACCTCCATAGGAAGCGAAGTGTAGTGAATTTCGTCCAAACTCTCCTTTTACAAAGGGATCAGCTCCCTTGTCTAAGAGATAGTTTACTGCCTCAACCTTGTCATCCTGTACAGCCAATAGCAAGGGTGTGTCGCCGTCACCATCTTTTGAATCCACATTAAGGCCACGAGACATTATTGTCTCGATGATGGCGACATTACCACCCATTGAAGCGAAGTGCAGTGAATTTCTTCCAAACTTTCCTTTCACAGAAGGATCAGCTCCCTTGTCTAAGAGATAATTTACCGCCTCAACCTTCTCACCCTGTGCAGCCAATAGCAAGGGTGTACTCCCGTCACCATCTTTTGAATCGACATCAAGACCACGTGACATTATTGTATCAATGATGACGATATCACCACCCTCTGAAGCAAAGTGCAGTGAATTTCTTCCAAACTTCCCTTTCACAGAAGGATCAGCTCCCTTGTCTAAGAGATAATTTACCGCCTCAACCTTGCCACCCCGTGCAGCTATTTGCAAGGGTGTACTACCAACACCATCTTTTGAATCGACATCAAGACCACGTGACATTATTGTCTCAATGATGGTGACATTACCTCCATGCGAAGCGAAATGTAGTGAATTTTGTCCAAACTCTCCTTTTACAAAGGGACCAGCTCCCTTGTCTAACAAATAATTTACCGCCTTAACCTTGCCAAACATTGCAGCTAATAGCAAGGGTGTGTCGCCGACACCATCTTTTGAATCCACATTAAGACCACGGGACATTATTGTCTCAATGATGGCGACATTACCACCCTCTGAAGCGAAGTGCAGTGAGTTTCTTCCAAACTGTCCTTTTACAAAGGGATCAGCTCCCTTGTCTAACAGATGGATTACCGCCAAAAGCTTGTTACCCCGTGCAGCCAATAGCAGGGGTGTGTTGCCGTTGCCATCTTTTGAATCGACATCAAGACCACGTGACATTATTGTCTCGATGATGGCGACATTACCACCCTCTGAAGCGAAGTGCAGTGAATTTCTTCCAAACTGTCCTTTTACAAAGGGATCAGCTCCCTTGTCTAGCAGATAATTTACCGCCTTAACCTTGCCAAACTGTGCAGCCAATAGCAACGGTGTGTTGCCGTCACCATCTTTTGAATCAACATCAAGACCACGTGACATTATTTTCTCGATGATGGTGACATTACCAGCCGTTGAGGCGAAGTGCAGTGAGTTGCTTCCCAACCGTTCTTTCACAAAGGGATCAGCTCCTTTCTCTAAGAGATGATTTAACGCCTCAACATTGCCATTCTGTACAGCTAATATTAAGGGTGTCTTGCCATCGTCATCTTTTGAATCCACATCAAGACCATATGACATTATTATCTCGATGATGGCAACATTACCACACTCTGAAGCGAAGTGCAGTGAATTTCGTCCAAACTCT